TCTCTCCCCTGATGCTTCGGCTAGAACATTTTCTTGCGTAATTCGTACACCCAAGGGCAGAAGGATTTAATCGCCGTCAGGTCCGAAGTCCATACGACGCCCCAGCTCTGCGGATGTCTCGGGGGTATGGCAAAGTGGAGTCGATTTTTTTTTGTGTGTGTGTGTGTGTGTGTGTGTGTGTGTGTGTGTGTGTGTGCATTTCTAGCAGCCAACTTAGGTTCGAATACCATCGTGTAAAGATAAGATTTTTTTGTTTCTTTTCAGCATTTTTTTGAATATTCAAATTCTTTATTAAGGAAGTAAATTAAACTATAGAAAGTGTCGAAAAAAGCAGCCAAACCCTKTCGATGCCCTACACTGTGAATATAAAGCAAAGCAAAGCGAAGTCAAGTCCGAAGTCCATACGACGCCTCACCTCTGAGCCAGTATGTCTCGGGGTATGACACAGTGGAATTGAATTTTCAGTGCATTTATGTTGGTAAGCTTAGAATCTCACCGTATCGAATAACGTTTTTGGTTCTTTTTAGCATTTTTAATTTTCAAATTCTTTATTATACCTTTACACTTTTATCAATGAAGGGCTTTTGAAAATTTTGATGCTTATTTGCGCTATATAAATGCAGGCTATTATTTTTATTTCACGCTATTTTATAGCCTCTACACTGTGCTATTCCACTGCTCGACAGTCAGTCTGTTATCATGAAAAATTTGCCGTGCCACGAATAAAGAGCCTTTCGTATTCTATGCCGACGAATGACAAACTGAAATGTCAAATTGAAATCTGTTAAGCAAAGGAGAGTCGCTTGAGGTTTCGTTCTCTGCGAAACTAAATGTTTTAATTCTATTAGAATTCGTTTTAGTATGTTGAATCGGTTCCCAATTGGTTCCTTTCCAGTTCCCTGCGCCATCTTGAAAGGTAGTCGTGCCTGATTGAACTGAGACGCTACGAACGGTGAGCTTGCGATGTTCCATTCGTCTCGCTTTAATGTAAAGGCACGGCTACATTTTAAGATATGGCGCAGCTGGGAACTGTGTCTAAAATGTTTGCAGCAAATCGTTTCTTATTTGTCATATTTATTCACAGCAACTATTTCTCAATTCTGCATGTCCCTTTGGGAAACCGTAAGTTAAAAGGTTATGAAATGTCTGTTTAGAATTGTCAAGGACTACTCAATGATCAAAAAGCGTTTTTAAAGAGCTATGGTTATGTTTTTTCTACTTCGGCCTATCATGTTCTTTTCTGCTGCTTTTAGATGACAATTCAAATTATTGAAATGTTTGAAAGCGTTTAAAGCACTTGACAGAACGGAAGACAAAATGTTCCTACTTCAATATACTGACTGGCTTTTAGGAATGACAATAGAATTAGCGTTTCCTTAATATTTGCCACTAAAACAGACATTTACCATGAAAAGAAAGTGCAAGATTGTGACACAGGAAGTCGATGGGTTTGAAAGCTTAAWACAACTTTGTTTACTTTCTAGTGAGCTTGTTTTGTCTTATTCTTTTCATATCCTTTGCTGTAATTCTTATGCATCTTAGCCATGTGACTGTTAGACAAAAAACAGGCACTTTGACAGCATTTTTGAACACACAGCAGCTACTTTTTAATCCTAGAAAATCTACTTGAATAAACACTTCAATCCCGTCCTGTCGATTCGATATTATAGTACGTCTGTCCGTCTCGATGGCAATACGTGGTCTTCTCAGGAATGAGAAGAGAGAACAAGGGTTTCTTTTTCTGTAAACTTGGCACCCCTCGCTAGAAAATAACTTATTGGCCAACACAATGGCTCCATAGTTACTGACATTCCTTTGATTAACACCTATTTGAAGCAAATTTGGAGAAAATAGGAAAAAAATAAACACAAATAACTTTGAATCCAGTTAAGTGTTATGAACGACTTCTACGTTTGCTCTGGGCAGAATCATCATTAGTTCTTTCGCTATTTGTACTGTTTGTGTGTGTGTGTGTGTGTGTGTGTGTGTGTGTGTGTGTGTGTGTGTGTGTGTGTGTGTNTGTGTGTGTGTGTGTGTGTGTGTGTGTGTGTGCTTCTAAAGATAAGCCAATATCGACGGCTTTTATTCTTTAGCTTGACACTTTCGTAAATAGGTGTATATCTAATATAAGAGTAGTTTTTTCATTGCACAATTTTTAATTTGAGTACCGGCCCTTTCATTCGCATGAGAAATGAATGGTGGTCAATTAACTAAATGGGAAGAAATGGTGTCAGTGAACACGACTACAATGATCAAAACATTACGTAATCTGCATTACTCTTATTTACATCTTGGCTAGACTTTTTCTCAAAATACGTGAACGAACGTCCGTTCGGACAGGTGAGAGTTTTATGAACCGGAAGGACTTGTCGTTTGTCCTGCGAACGAGGCTATAGATCAACGGCTATACATCTTAGTGTAGGATATA